CGATCCCGGGGGGCTACCGACGTGGGGGGGGTCTCAATCGAAAGCGGGCCTCTAGACGTACACTCGATTCGCGTTCGAGAGGGTTCCTCGAGCTGAAGGGATCCCCTGAATTTGGTGGAGATCCACCGGCGCGTTTGCGAGGTAGTGACACCAGTCAACACTTTTCCTTCAGTAGGAGGTCTCTTGTTCAGGCCGTAAGTGCACTGCGAAGTGGACTTCACATGATATTCCACCATGATTCCAGTTCCAAGGGAACATACACGTTACATTCAAAGGGCATTAAAGTGCGCGAGACGTGAATTTATATTTATTTATTTACAGAGGTGTATTATGTCACACTTCTCTAGTAAGTTTCGTCTGTGTGTGAAGATAGTAGCGCAAATCCGTGTGTGTGTGTGTGTGTGTGTGTGTGTGTGTGTGAATATATACACACACACACGGTTTTAACACTTTGATGCTGGAATAAATTTTTTTTTAAAAAAGAACATGAAATAATGACTTATGTAACTCTGTGCCTCTCTGATGCATTAAACTGGACGCTGAGCTCAGTGTGTTTGGGAGCAGAGAGCCTCGTGATTGGCTGTGTGATTGGCCGAGCCCGGTTGTGATTGGCTGATTAGACTCACGGCGAGAGGATCGGCTGTGAAAGCGGCGACACTATTCCTCATCTCGTTCTCACTGCCGCGCAGAGGAATCAGAGACACGTTACCGAAGCGAGTGTCCAGCGGCGCAGAGCGACTCGCCACGCGAGACTTCAACCACTCCGCCGGCCAAACACGACCTCCGTTCTGAGAGAGAGAGAGAGAGAGAGAGAGAGAGAGAGAGAGAGAGAGAGAGAGAGAGAGAGAGAGAGACAGAGAGAGACAGAGAGAGAGAGAGAGAGAGACAGAGAGAGAGAGAGAGAGAGAGAGAGAGAGAGTCAATAAACGAAAGAAGAAGAACAGCAGGGCAGCGCAGCGCGAGCTCACCAGAGCAGATGCGTTTACACAAACACTAAACAGCGCTGTGAGATCCAGTGTGAAGTACTTGAATTCAGCGAACAACACAAACAAATTGCTGATTTAAACGAGTTTAAAGGCAGATGAAACAGTGCTGACAAACAGGAGAAACACTGTGTGAAGGCTTTTCAATCTACAGATCGACCATCATTTACTGTAATAACACTAAAAGCACCATGGTATTGTGTCAGAAACATTGGAACTCGTATCGAATTTTATTATATTATTAATGTAGACATGTATTAAATGTATTAAAGCGATTAAGCTATAGCGTTTGTGCATTTATACTAACTGTAGGCTATTTAGAATACTGGTTTTCATACAACACAGGCAACACAAACCTGTTTCTTAATTTGAAACAATATTACTCATTAGAACATGCATCAAATTTTCTATTAAGATATTATTTTGTTAAGGAAAAGTGTAAAGAATTCAAAAACATGAAGTGCTTGTCATGTTCTGACCATAAAGAGTAGTTTAAAACCACAAGTAACTATCTGGTTTCTACAACTTTAAATTTGGAGAAAAATCTGCCTTTAAACCTTAAAAAAAAAAAAATTTGACATTTATCATGATAATTATCGATATCGACTGATATGAAAAAAATTATGATGATAATTTTTTTGGCCATATCGCCCAGCCCTACATGCAACACATGCAGCATATCTGATCCGTCAGGCTTTTCTGTAAATCAGTGAGATCTTTATAACAGTGCAGCAGATACTGACATAAAATGATCTAAATATCAGTCGTTGCTCTATATCTCCAATAATAAGATGAGAGGGAAATGCTCCAAACATATAATGCAGTGATTGAGAGCTGAAGAAATAAAGGCTCCTCAGAAGATGTGAGATGTTCTGGAGGCTTGTGAAGATCATTCCTCCGCTGAGGAACAGTGAAAGTAAAGCTTCTGGAAACAAACGCTCCTCAAAAGATCCTGAGGATCAGATTTGAGACTCTAAAACATGATTGATGGAGAATCAAGTAAAGCTGAGCTGCTTCAGTCCAGTAAGAGTTCATCTGGAGATATTACTAACAATATCAAAGTTATGAGACTTTTCAGCAAATTTTTGATCATGTTGATCATTCAGAGGTCTTTGTGTATCAAATGTGCTTCAGCAGGCTTTATAGGGCTAATGAACGCTGATGTGATCCTCTCAGACTGACCTGTATGCTCATGAATGTAGCAAACCACTCCCTCATTTCATTCTGTGTGTCACAGCAGAGATACCTGAGACAGAAACACATCAAAACACACATAATGTTTTTAGAGGGCAATGTCACACCATATGAACATTATTCACAGAGAATTAAAATGCATACTGACATGTCTGTGTGAGTGTGAGAGAGAGAGAGAGAGAGAGAGAGAGAGAGTGAGTGTGTGTGTGTGTGTGTGTGTGTGTGTTCTCACCACTGCTGTCTCTCCTGCTTTTCCTGTTTCTCACTTTCATAGACGACTGTGAGACCCCAACTACAGACAGACAGAGAGATTAAAGGGTTAAACACCACTTGATTTCCACAGATGATCATGTCTAGATGTTCTTAAATGAGGAGAAACTCTGAATCTGGAGTGTGTAGAGCTCAAATGCAGCTGATGATGCAAAGAGCCAGATGGGAGTTTTTGGTCTGATTGGCTGAGATGCTGTAAATGAATCTGGCCTGATCGTGCACTACACTGACATCTCTTATGAAGCAGCTCGTCTCGATGTAATTTGAATAAGTCTCTGAATAAAACTGCACTGTTTTTTCTCTATAGTCCAACTGTATGAGTCATAAACGCCTGATGGATCAAATATGATGCTGAACAAAAATTTTTTTTTTTTAGGTTTTCTTGAACTGTTCCATTTCAAAACATTAGATTTCTTGGACTATTTCATATGTCAGGCTTCACAGCACTGGTTAAACAGCACTGAATCGGAGCGCCTCTGACTCACACTGACACCTGCTGGTCAGAAATCACAGCACATCCGCTTCTGCTGAACATTTGCACTATTATGAGTTTCAAAAGCAGCTTTGGAGAAAATCATGTTAATGCATGAAACAAAACCCTAGATGTCATGAGCACCTTAACATGCTGTCTAGTTAGAAAGCTCACTAGGGTTTAGAACAGATTCAGTTCAAGATTTATTCTCACCATGTTGGTGGACGGAGCTTCTTTTTCATGCCGTGATAGACTTTCAGACACTTGACGGGCCACTCTCTCTCGGGACGATTACTCTACAGAAACAGAGAGAGAAAGAGAGATAAACCTACTGAAACACACACGCTCACTCCATCTAGAGCCCAAAACTACAGGAAAACCACCACCTGAGAACCCATTAAACCAGAGCAAGAGAGAGCAGTGGACACTAAATGTCTACACACACACACTCCTACTGTTTCCACATAAAGTGAATTAATGACCACAGACGACCAAACCCTGAAGGAACCGCTCTCACACACACTATCTGTACTCACACACTGCAGCTCTGGGCTTTGCAGCTTTTGCAGATTCTGTGTATGACAGTTTCAAAGCAGAACATCAATCACTCGTTTGCTCTTACACACTTAAGATTATAATCACTAACTCAAACCATAAATAAAATAAGCATTATAAACTGAAATAAAATACACAAAAACTTCATTTTATTTCAGATAGTAGGCAAGGCAACATTTCTTATTTTTATTTAACTTTACCTTAAAATAATATAAAACTATATAGTAATAAATAAATATAAAATTACTAAAACTTTAAAATCAACATGAAAACTAAAAATTAAAATTAAAAACTATTTTCTAATACTATTATTGTATTTATTGTTTGATGCCATATCAGCAGCAATGGCTATGTTTGTGGCAAAATCAACAGTATTATGATTACAATATCATTTCAACACTATGTTTACAATAATTAAAAAAAAAATCTTAAAAATAATCAACATACAAAAATATACATATATACGCTTTCAATTTAATGTTTGACAAAAAAAATTCTTATTCCAGGAGAAACCTTTTTAAAAATGTCCATCAACATGTTTTCTGAATAAAAATGCTGTCCATATCATTTAAAACTGGGGTCTTTCTATATTTTACACATTACTTTTTTTAATAAATCCAAAATTTACATAAATCACAAAATAGTTTCACTTCCTCTTTCAATAAATAGAAATGAGACTTGCGTGCCCAATTCAACATGTGTGACCAGGTCAATATCTTCTTTCAAAATGCTAACAATAATTAACTCCTTGATTTAGTACTGGGTTCACCTCATATCGTTTGTAATATATGCATTTATTCCATTACATTTAATAATAATAATAATACGTCAGTGATACTAAAATAACACTGACTATGTTTACATGCACAGCAAATTCAGTTTAAGGTCTATATCCGGATTATGATGTTTATATGCGTGCAGGCATCAGAATATTCCTGTGTACTTGATTTTTGTAAGTCTGCTGATATGGATTTTCTGAATAATGTTCAGAAACCGAATCAGATTGAAACAGCACTAATCAGAATATTGCAGAATTCCAATTAACAGCTGATGTGTTACATGTGTGACGTCACATCACTGACATCAGTGTCCAGCTGAACTATTACTCATGTCACATGTGCGGAGGTCAGGCAGAGGTCAGGCAGAGGTCATTCACATTCTGAGGATCAGAGATGCTGGAGAATGACCACGTTTTTGGTGCAAATCATTTTAGTGAAGGTTTAAAGTGGCCTTCAGGGATCCAAATGAAATGATTAAACGAACACGTCCGACAAACACACACACGCTTACCCGGACTTCTTTATAGAGTCTGAGCGAGGTGCTGGTTAGGATGAAGTATCGGTCATTGAAGCTCCCGGTGCTCAAACCCAGAAGACTCCTCTCCTCTCTGAACTTCATCATACCGTGTTTGGACACCTCCACTTTACTGGCTGTACCACACACACACACACACACACAC